TGTTTTGAATTTTTACTGTGTTGACCGATAATATAAATAGAACACATGGCATAAAATTCAGCGTAAAATATGAAGTTTATTTGTAAATCACCCTAAATATTGATTATGACTTATATGAGAGCCTAATTGAAAAAAATGGCTTTTTCATGAAAAAACAGTAGCATTCTTAAACAACACTAAACTCATTTAGTGTCGTAATTGTCAATTATTTAAAAACACCTGTCGTAATCTAAAATATGTCTAGTAATTATCAAACAACACCACACAATAAATAAGTACATAATATAGACTTAACGACAGCTGTATCTACCGAATGGTACATGTCTATATGCCAGGTGAGACCATTCAACTGGTTCGACTACTATAAATGTAACTTGAGACAAAAAATCTCAATGAAATCGTCATTTACTCGTCATTTACTTACTAGACTACAACAATGACATTGAAGCGACAATGAAAAATTAATAAGATGATGAAAAAGTGTAAATGTAAGTTTGGCTTGCTTCTAGAAAATTTATAGTTATTTATAACCCATACAAACTACAGCATCTGCAGAATATAAGCATCTGTGCTACTGTTATAGAGACAGGGGAACTTAGAAATTTCTAAAAAAGCTAATTTGATATATTTTTTTAAATACTGCGAAGATTTTATATTGTTATTCTAGGTACCCTACAATAAGCTCTATATTTAGTATACATAGTCAAAATAATGTATATTACAATTTTATATTACTTGATTTAACATTATATTTGATTTACTAAATAATTGTATGCTCGGAAATACTATATAATGATAAATGATATTAGAATCATGGCCTTCCAATATCACTTACCCTTTTAGTTTTGTGTTTAATTTTCATTACAAGATTCTAATATAAATGCAATGAACAAAAGTAAAATTTTGAAAATTCGAGTGGTAAAACCTGGTGATAACATTATAGTAGCGCAGACTCTACCTTCCTTTTGGTTCACTTCGTACTCATTGCTTCTATTGAAAGCAATTCACTTTATCTTAGACTGTCAGTTGCGTCGAAATTAAACAAACGTATTGGCATTAATATTTAAGGTTACCGTAAGTAGGACAGAGTACAGCGTTATTAATTACCGACATACTAGCAAACAAGTTTGGCTCTTTCGAGGGCTGTTAGCTTTTAAAAATATTTTATTCATTCCATTGATTATGCTTTTATTGCGCGATTTAGGTAAAAAAAAATGTTATTTTATCTATAGATATATGTATATAAATATATTATTTCATTAGTAAGTCAAGTTGGATTTAATTAATTTTTTGTTGTTAATTTCTTTCAACAAAATTATTCAGTCTTAGTAATAATAAAATTAAATTATTCGTTCCGTACGTACGTCTTAAGACATTTAAAAACTTGATGATGGACAGCCCTTGATTTTAACTGACGTACTAATATCTTCGCAATTCAATCTTGCATCAATCAAATACAATCACAATAAGCGGTTTTTTTATAAACCTATACTAAGTTTTTGAAAGTATTCCTATAAATTCATAATTTTCAAGGCATATATTTTTGCAATGAATTTTATTTCATAGTAGTATTATTATTTATAATAAGGTATTCAAAAAACTGAATTTGTTTATCCTTTTTCTACACCTAGTAAGGGCGGACATTATATTTTAAGAAATATGGGCCTATAATGTATATAAAATCGATTTTTTTACATCAATTGCCTATAACTTTTGTTTACGTAAATTCTAAATTATCCTAATCTAAAAACACTTATTTTAAATAACTAAAAACCTATAAAAAAAAGATATATTTAAATTTTTAAATCACTTTTAACAACGATAAGTTACATCGCGTATACCTAGCATTTATAACGTGGCATATTATCAATTCCGAGTCAAGGTTTCATACATTCATGGTTATATAGCTGAGGACTATTCACTGCAAACCATTTTACGGTGTTCCAAACCCATATATTTATTTAACTATGTGTTACCAATAAGCACTAAGTAATTATACTGCGCAAATATTAATCACAATAGCGTAATGCAAAACAGTCATCACTTTGTGAAGATAAATCTTCTGTATCGTTCTATACTTCTGGATCGTTATAATGATTAATGGATAACATAATTTAATTTATAGTATCATTAAATGACTAACATAATGTCTCAAAGTCTGATTAAAACACCCCTTTATGGATTCCTATAAATTTACTTTCTAGAAATTGATTTAAAATTAATTATTTTTCATAATATAATGTATTAACTTATCATTATTTATAGAATTTATTTCTAACTAATGACTTATTACCTATTTTTTTTCCAAAATAAAACTAACCTAAGTTACTCCTTATAACATCAGCTATTTGCCAGTGATAGTCACGTCAAAATCGGTCTAGCGGTTTCGAAGATTAGGCGGAACAAACAGACAGGCAAAAATGCTAAAATTATGTTTTTCTTATAAGTACCGTATATAATGTCATATGCATTTAGTAATAAGCTTTTGATTCGACATTAAAAGCAGACACCTTAATTTTATTTATCTATATAATATACATTGTGAATTTAGGTTTTTTAACCACTACACTAATTCACTTGTAGGTTTTTTTGTTTGATTAGGTTTGTTGTAGAGACGATTGCTGTACAGTTTTAGTTAGTGTTTTAAATATTCCAACCAATTTTATTTTTGTATTTAGCTGTCGGTTAATTGATCTTAGTTTAGTGATAATACCGTTACTTAAGTTGGCACACCAGGAAAATAACTTTCGGAATGTTTTTTTCTGTATAAGTAGCTTACCAAATATACAATATAATTAGTTAATAAATATTAAAAACTGTACTTAGATTATTTATTCTTTATGTATAAAGAATAAAGAAATACAGATTATGTTTCGGGATTTAGTAATTTGTTTTATTATTTAAATTATCAGATACTTTGTCTCTAAGATTAATAGTAATTTAAAAAATAACATATAATTTATAACTTTAATTTAACGCAATTTTTTATAAGACTAATTCGGACTAATCTTTTAAAACCATATATGGAGTAGAGACCGTGAGTATAATTCACGCAATACAAATACTATACAGACCTGTACAAGCAAAATAAAAATTAAGAAAAAGGTCGACATTTTTGCTACGACAACATTGCACAATAATGGCAGGTGTTCCATTTTTATTGACATTTAATGCTGATATTATCATGTCTAAAACACACATACAAAGAGCCTTTTCAAATTGATATCCATCAAAACTAGCTAAAAAATGAGGAGCGCCTAGCACGTACATATGTAATAATCAGTCGATTCAGGTACAGGTAAGTTTTATAAGAGCTTCTTTAAAGCAGATGTTCCCATTCGATGCGACAGACAAAAGGCGTTAACGCGTTGAGATGGTTCACAATGCGGCAAACAGATGCGCAGCCCGACGTGGCATTTGTCTGTAAATCACATGGGCAAATAGCACGCACACTGAGCCTACAGCCGTGGCCACGCGGCGCCGGTGTGTGAGTAGCTCCAGTCAAGGCTGCGTGTACCTGCCCCTACCTGCCTATCGCATTCTTGCTCTATCTGCGGAATATCAGAGGTTCGCGTGTGTCGTAACGGTTCAAGCTTCTCAGGCTTGTCTTATATCAAAGTTTGACGCTTTCAATGATTGACAACGTAATTACAAATGCAAAAAACTATTTCTTTAGTAACCTCGCATGTTTTTGACAGTGTTTTGAAATAACTGTGCGCATATCTATACATATAATAAAATTGTAACTAAGCCGAATACACATTTAATGTTTTTTGGAAAATCTCATTGAAATAGATATTATTATCGATACAGAGGCCGAATCTATAGTTTTTAGAATTTTTGTCTGTCTGCCTGTTACCGCATCACAGGAAAACCACTGGAGGGATTTTGATGAAATTTGGTATGGTGATAGCTGGTTATCCAAGTCAACATATAGGATACTCTTTATCGCGGAAAAATGTCTTATTTCTGAGAAAAAATACAAAAACTGCAATGTAAGAGTATACTAATATTTAAAATCTAAGAATTTGGTTTTTGGTCATCTGAACGCGGGCGCAGCCGCGGGCAATGCTAGTATGTATATAAGACAAGATGTTTTAGTTTTAAACTTAAGGAGGTGGACATTTATATGACACGTGAAACATAAAAACAAAATTTAAGTAGTTTATCAGATATTTTAGAAATCGAAAACACAGAATGTCATGCGTAGCTTGTATTTTTGCTGACTTTAACATCGTAAAAAATTTTTAATCGCGTTTCAATACGTAATATCTAGGTCATGGACTATTCAATCTGCAATGGCGCTCAATCCTTCCTAGGAAATAGAGATCAAAATTAACATTGCAAATTTTATATGTTTCCGATTTCATTTTATATTGAAACCAATTTGTGGTTTCTATTGGAGGTGCCTACGAATAGATATCAGTTTCAATGTATAACAGAGGCATAGACAAAGTATATCTTACATAGAAGTCCGGATACGCATTTGTCTATAAGTATACATTATAATACATTATACAATTATTATTCAATAATACTTGTTCGTATAGTTCATATTACGATATCTACAATGTTTAAAAGTGATTCTAACCGTACTCGTGCACCTTGAATCTAAATCTCAAATTGCATTATGATTCAGCTGTGTCAGAAATTCCACGAGTCACGCCGCTGAATGTCGATTCCCTTGTATTGTTTGTATTATTATTATTTACAACATACATACAACAACTAATATCATGTCATAGTTCAAAGCAAACTACGATTTTATTTTGCAATATTATTACAGAAAGAGGCTTGCTTACTCTTTGTGGATGAAGTAATAATTTAAATTTATTTTTACTGAGTGAAAAACAAGAATTTTATGTTCATTTTAATGTATGAAAGTTTATGAAATTATTAGCGAAGCTTTTAAAAATAAAATGTTTGTTTTTGTAATTTTGTTGTCCGTCTTGGATCTTAGCCATACACATTTCGCCAACAATGCTATTAATAACACTCACCTCTTTGAGACCGTCGAGTCTTCCTAGGGATTTAGATTGTCGTAGTGGCAAGAAAGCTTTGAGGGCGTCCATGCGTGATGTTCGCTCCGGTTCGTTATTGGTAACAGTCGTGAGATCAGCGCAGGATAAGCGCGCCTTGCGTCGTTTATCCAGCAGATGCTTGGCCGTCCTCGAGCGGCGCTGCACTGGGGCAGCCTCCTCCTCCGGCTCGCTGCATACTTCCCGAGCTGCGTGCACCGTGTGCCGCCGCCTCGACACGGGCGGCGACGTCAACCGCGACACCAAAGACTCAAACATTGCACTAGCCGCTATGATATTTTGAAGACCAATCAGGCGGGATGCTCACATCACGTTCACTAAAACCCATTTTTCGTTGTGTTCTCTATCTCGGGTCGCCAAAGCCTACAACCAAATAAAGCCATTTCACAATAACATCGCTTTTGAACTCTGAGCGGTGAATCTCGAAGCCTCAAACATTAATCACTGTAGATACAGTTCGGATCGTTGACCGTTCGATGTCACTATTGTCATTGAACTAATTTTTCATGAGCTCACTCGATATGGTTTATTTGGAATTCATTCACACAGAATTCATACCGTGACGGACAATACGCAATTCCGGAAGTGACAGAATACGACCGCGCACTAGGGCCACACATTTTTATAAATAATTTAGCAACAAACGCCAACGAAACTTTTTAACAATAAAGATTGTTTTTCACACGTTTAGAGAGAACGCTCGATAGGTTTGTTAGCCTGGTTACCGCGTTTTGTAATTAAGAGAGACTGGGACCGGGTCCTAATGTGAGCGTCTCACAGCTCGGGCGGGGCACGGTGTTGGAAAGTGTGCCATCTCACACAAAACATTGCTATGGCACCTTGCCACGCACCACCCGTCAAAATAGAATCACACAAGGTCAATCACTGATAGTGAAAATAGAAACAATTTCAATGTTAATTCCTGGTAATAGCAGACAATTGGAGTCAAGTACGACACGTGGCAAACAGTAAAATAGAATAGAAAATAGATAAAAAGCTTTATTTGATAACTATCACGTGAAATAAAGTTTTGTGTAGGAGGTTATGAATGAGTTTTAGAATATTTAAATACTCTCATATGGAACAGGCCAGCAAATCAATACTCTGGCTTTTTCTACACTATTTTTTATTTAAAAACATGTCTAAACTATCTAATTATGGCGACAGTTCACACGAAATTGAAATGACCGCGTTCCACTTTGTTTATTACATTTAAAAAGTATTGGGAAATTTTAAAAGAAAAAGTAATGGTGTAGTTACAAACTTTATGGTTTAGATACGTTTACCTTTTTTAATGAATTTGTTTATATTTATCATAACTAATAAATTCTGACAACTTGTTTCATATATATTTAGCTTGGAACATTTCTTTAGAAATTGTTCATTGGAGTTAACTTCTAAAACACAGTGCATCAGCTTTAAAATAAGTCGCACGATTTTATGTAATGAATTTGTCAGTACCTACGTGATTACGAAACGTACACCTGTGTCAAGAGAATTAATCTTATTGAAGTGACGATTGTGACTGCTTTCAAATATAGCAAGGTTAAAAAATAAAATGCAATAAGGTGCTCGTGCTCTACTCATATACAAATACATAATATCATATTACAACTCTCTTTTATATAAATGTGCTATATGTATTATGTATACAAAACGATATAAATATATAGATTATATACATATATAAATAATTAAATTATACATATGCACATTTCTTGTACATAACATATTATCATGTTATGATCACAACACGGTAATTTATAAATGACAATCGCCCCTCGTATAGGTGTTGTAGTAGCGGCCCCTGAGGGCTGTAGCTTCGGTCGGTGGCTGTCGTTTGTGGAGCACGGCTCAGCTAATAAAACGGTTACTCCTAAGCTAGCCTGCGACGTCGACGCAAACCGGTACGCCGACCAGTCTGCCGCCCCCCGCGCACGCTCACTCCGCACGCTTCTAAAATACACGCATCCACATCACCTTATCAAGAGAGCTATTGCGGCTAAGCTTGTTGTCTGTTCGCTATCCTATTTCATAGCCCGCTCGAACTTGAGATAGGCTGTATCGAATTCATCGTTGGGAGCGAACCCAAGCTAAACTGGCAATATGATATTATGCGACCAGTGATCCGACTAACCGCAGTTTAGATTTCATTAAATAAAAATAGTAGCCAACATAATTTCGAATGTAATGTGAGTTTTAAGGGCATGATGTCGGTTATGATTCGTTACGGTTCGCATTGTTGTGATGCAACTGATCGTTTACGAGCGTAGAGAAGACATCTCATGTAGCGTGAAAACAATTGGCGAAAGTCTGGTATACTAAGTTAACCAATAAGCGAACAGTGACAAAGGCACAGATTAGAAAGTGTCGTGTGTTGTGTATTACAAAGCCTGTAATACGGTGTACGCACACGCTCTGATTGGCGTCCTATCTGTAAATCTGTCACAGCGGCGTCCATAGTACACCATGGCGGCGCGGTGGTGAGGCACGGCCACACTGCAAACAACGTGCTGAAAGCACGCGCCGCCTAAATTAGGCCACGTTCAACAAGAAAGGGCTCTCTGCTATAAGCGTGCTGGTTACGAGACAAATTACTTTGTAGACCAAGAAAACTAAAACCAAAGTACAAGAAATTTATTCTTTTCTGTTTTGTATAAGTTATGCCGTATTAATATTAAGAAGGCTGTGGCATTATCACTATTTAACATATTAGTGAAATATAAAATTAGGTCAGCAATTATGTTATCGTATAATTGGGCCGTTACATAATACATTTGTCTTGCAGGGGATCTAGACATATCAAAACATGACACTATTTTGACAGTTACTAGTTTAGGTACAATACATCAGTGATAAATTATTCATTATAATCTACGATGACCTATTCTTTACAGGTACGGAAATAGAGAGATTAGGAGGTCAGACGGTGACCTTGGTTGAAAGTGTGTCGGTCGTGAGATGGGCTATCGGGTGTCGCTGAGGCAGACGTCACGCTTCAAACCCCAGACCGTGCCCACGTCGCTTTAATCATTTTAAAAAAATGTATAGCTTTCTAAGTTAAGATTCATTTTTCTCGCATAAATTACTACTAATAAACATTTGTTTATTACGCAACAGAGCAACTTTTTACTTTTTATCCTGGTACACCAAGAAGTTTTCGTGGGTCTTTAGTCTACAGCAGAATTTACTCTGAGGCGAATATGAGCAAAGCCAAGATTTTACTATAAAGAATGTTCTTTCTATAAAAGAAACATTTCTAAAAATATTACAATGTTAATGTAAAAACAGTAAGTATGCGAAAGGGTGTATGATCGACGAAGTAAGAAAAAAAAGATATTACAAAAAATCCTGTCTACTGGGCACGAAATCGTTTACCCTATCTCTAATGACAAGACGTGAGTGAAAGCCAAGGCCAAAAATTTATCGTTCGTTACGTGAAAATATTTCAAATAAACATTACAATTATTATAATAGACAAATAAAACTAGTACCAAAGACGGTTCGAGTGCATATTCAATAGTTTGGTCCTTATATCCTTATAAGCGACACTATCGACTGCGATATGCTCAGCCTTATTCTTTAAAAAAGCGGCGAGTTCGATTTACTAGCAAAATGAATGTTAATACTATTCATAGCATTTTAGATTTTACAAAAGTCTTACGGTAACTTTTTTGAGCATTAATTTCAGTTTTCCCTATATCTTCCTATTTCGCTGATCACGAATTTTCAAATGAAATACCTACACCTTATGTATGTGTATATTACTAAGTATATGTGGCTATTTTAGTGTCTTGAAGAGATAGCTCACGTGATTGCTCTTTGCCGTATGTTTACATTTGCTTCAGTTATGTAAACAACTCGTCAGATCGGTTTATAGAGTGTCAAACGTTAAGAAAATTGTGTCGATGGAGTGGTCTTGGAAACTATGTCTTTAAAATAAAGGTTAAACGCCGTTATATGGCCCTTAGTTAATAAGTGTTTATATTTAGACACATGTGGCAATTGCGTGACAAAGGTATTTAAATGTTTCTAACTGTTGCCTCTCGGAGCGCGGCAATGCGGTCGCTGCCTCTGCCGACCGCACTTGACTACATCAAACCTCTGTACAGATACTTAAATGAATTCAGAATACTCTTATGTAATTATTTACCTTTGATTAGCTTACTGTAAATATTATTCACGAACATGAAATGAAATAATTAAAATTTCTCAGAACTACCGAATATAACGGGAAATATGTATGTTTTAATGTTTAATAGATATATTTTGTTAAAAAAGATATTCATATTTTCTATTATGTATGTATATTAGTATATTTGCACAAAATTCCATAAAATATCGTATTCTTCAAAAATGCCTTATATCATCAAATACAGGTTGTTTTCTGGTCATGGCCTAAAAAGAGTATTTACCTCTGTGAGTACTCACTCGAACGTGTTTGATCTATTAGTTATAGGTGCTAATAGTTCAATAAATAACATATGATATATAACAAGATAATTTGTTCATGAAAAAGATTTTTAACCCCCCTTTTAATGCTTATTATATTGATATAATGTCGAAAGGAGACACGAATGGCAACCCGAAGTTATAGGGAGAGCTATTTAAAATATTTTTAGAAACGTTATTTTCACAATTGTTACTTTACACTTAACTCAAATTGTATTACTGAATTTATTCCATCTTCATTTTTATTACGCACTAAAGGTCAAAATTGTCTCGATGAAATACTGTTTATTTAATTACTTAAAACGCATTCAAATGAACACAATAAAATGTTTGTAATTGATTGTTTTCTGTTGATGTTTAAAGGTATCAACTACTTTCTCTGTGCTGATCGTTTCTGCCCGCGTGTTGTTTATTTGTTACGGTCAGTTAACCTGTTCTATTTGTCAGATGTACTAAAATATTTTTTATTACAAATAATATGTAGTTCCCACATTGTATTAAATGTATTCAATTAAATATTGCCATAGATCATATAATACTATACTAGTAAATGAAAAGTAGCAAAATTGTTGATTTTAATCTATATTTTTATATAAAGAGGCAGAGTTTGTTTGTTTGAACGCGCCAATCTCAGGAACTAGTAATCCGATTTGAAAAATTCTTTTTGCATTAGGTAGCCCGTTTATTGAGGAAGCTATAGGCTAATTTATCATATAACATATAGGCTGTCTAATCGTATAATCTTCATTTTGAAGAGAATCATTAGAGCGTAATTTATAATGTATGAAGATTATTATTTTAATTATAAGAACTTCTTTAGACAAATATTTGGAGCATATATTTATAATTTATTAAAGTTCATTAACTGTCCAACCTTTTGGACAGCACAAATAAAGCTTTATGTTCTCTTTAGGGCAGCAATAAAAATTCTTTCTACTGGTTTTAAAAGCATTGTAAAGCTAAGGAACTGTCACGAGATTTTAATCCGTTTGAAGTCACCAAGACATTGTAAACAATGCTGGAACCTTTTAAAAAACCTTTAAATAGCCTGCTTGATGTTTAATATTCTCATTTACACTTTTTATTAGTACGTATTTCCAAACATACCACAGTGGAGCCCGGTTTCGTAACAAGGCTTGTCGCAAGTGATAAAATTGAGCTAACAATATTTATTTTCAGATAAGTAGTGGAAGACGCGTACAATTTGATAATAATTACTTAAAGTAATTATCTTATCTAGCACCATTAGGTCCACACTTTAAAACGGTTAGAACATTTAGGTCAGTTTTAAGTGGCTTTTTAAAAACGTCGCAACATCAAAAAGTCTTCTCTAAACTCAGAAAACCATGAAAATTATTAAGGGTATTTATTTATCTTTCTTAAAGCATGAACAACTAATGAAATTTAGTTTTGTTTAATTCTTATAAATACACATAATAGTAAATACATACCTTAATTTATTATAAATATAAAATACCATTTAACCTCATTTTTTATTTTATAATATGTTACAACAGATTTCAATGCTTCATTATTATCATAAAATATAATAAAATTCTAACTGAGTCGAACCTGTACATTAAATATTTTTTGGAAAATCTTATTGAAATAGTCATTATTATCGATACAGAGGCCGAATCTATAGTTTTCAGATTTTTTTGGCTGTCTGTCTGTCTGTGACCGCATCACAAGAAAACCACGGGACAGATTTTGATGAAATTTGGTATGATAGGATACTTTTTACTGCAGGAAAATATCTTATCTCTGAGAAATCTATACTAAACGTTAAAACGTAACTAGGGACAAATCTGAGCGGAGCGAGGGAGAGTCGTTGGTAATTTAACTAAAAGTTGCATACATGACATATCAGTAGATAATGTTGATTTTAATTAAAAAAAACCATTTTTGCTTGAAAAAACAAACAATTTCTGTGTGAGTTTGTATTTTTTTTGTTCAAATAGGATCATATACTGTTTTGCAAATTATGTAAATCGTGGGATATTTTCTACCATTTCATTGTGGTATGAGACCTATGAAAGTTTGGTGATTATAGGTACATATGTATATACAGATTATAGTATTTATTATTAAGTAATAATCGGATTTTAAATATACCTTTCATTATTGTATTGATATTCTTACAATGCTAAAAAATCTTTTGTTTCGACATCCCACGCTATGTACACAAATTCTAGTTTATTTTTTTATATTGACCACAATATCTAAGAATATTTCTTAAGAAATTTATAATACCATTTTTTTATTGTTTTACTATCATAAAAGATGTTTAATTTGTAGAAATGTAACGGACACCATAGTATTTATTCATCAGCTTAGTTATATGTAAACGGAAGCCCTACGCTATCTACTCACCCTGTACAGGGTCTATGCTAATCTATTTATTTGCATTTGTGTATATTTTACTAAACAGCAAATGCATCAGTACACATTCCACAAAATTACATTAATATTATGTGAAATAATTGACATTTCTATGAAGGTATTTCCATTGTTCTAATTGCTTTAATTACGTATTATAATTAATTATCATTAATGTATTGAAAATATGAATGAAATCTTCCAATCAATATAATTAAATTGTA